TTTCAAACCCAGAGAGCTTGTTGTTTCATATGAACATTAGAAGCACCTGTAAAGCTGTGGTAATTACATTGAAGCTCGTTAAGCATCATGTCTGCACCTGGAGAACAAAGAGGAAGCAACACCTCTCAGTACACATAAACAAACAGACACATAAATAAGGAAGCACCTCTCAGTACACTTGAACACATAACAAAGATACCTTAACATCTCTAGATATTGTGGGATGTGTGTTTGTGCTTTTCAGTAACCCAGGAGTTAAATATAAATCATTATAATAATGAATGCTGAATACCTCGCTGCTGTAATCCCATGATCTGCTGCTGTGATGTGTTTGGGGGATCTTTAATGCGTGGGAATTCACAGCGCTGTGTGTGTTGCAACAGATTTACTTTGTTTTTCCAACTGCACTTCCTGCCTCTCTCTCTCTGCGCAGAGCTATCTCTCGCTAGCGCTGACTCTATCTCGCGCGCTCTCTCTCTCTCTCTAGAGAGATAGAGGAGAGATCGCGAGAGAGCCTGCGAGTAGAGAGATAGAGACTCTCTCTCTCTCTCTCTCTCTCTCTCTCTCTCTCCCTCTCCCTATCTATCTATCTCGCTCTCCCTCTCTCTCCCCTCTCTCTCTCCCTCTCCTATCTATCTATCTATCTCTCTCCCTCTCTCTCTCTCTCTCTCTCTCTCTCTGGGGTGAGTCGGTGCATGTAAATGAGGAAGGGGGCGTGGCTTGTTTTAGAGGGAGGGGGCGAGTTACATCCTGCACGCCGTCATCTATTCAGAATCAGAAGTCCTTTATTAGTCCCACAGAGATGTACAGTTACAGCAAAGACTGAACTGAGCGAGACAAACATTATCTGAGAGATACAAATCTGAAATCTGAGAGAAAAAAGTCAGAACTTCGGGGAAAAGTCAGAAACTTGAGAACAAAATGAAATCGGGGGAAAAGTCAGAAACTTGAGAACAGGAACACGAGCAGAATCCTGTTCGTCCTCTTTAACGTTCTCTCCTCTTCAGGTGGATGGGATGGCGGGCATCGAGTACCACGACCTGGAGGCCGCCGAGGCGCTGGTCAGCATGAGCTTCTGGGGTCAAAGGTCGCACAAGCCCCGCCCCCTGACCCCCACCTCCGACTCCTGTGACTCCATCCACCTTCAGGGGGGGGGCGAGGGTCCCAAAGACCTGATCGCCCTGTCATCGCTGGTGAGGAAACACTATTTAAAGAGTCTTTCATTCATAGTGATTTAAGCTCTTAAAGAATACTTTAGTTATTTAGTGGTTCATTGTTTAACATTTTGAATGTGTGTCTGTTATTAATGCAGGGTTTGGTGGAAGAAGAATAAATGAACACCATTTAGTTAAACAATGAATCAACCCTCCCATCGTCTGCGTTTCTCCCCCCTTACTGACTCTCACATTTACATTCTGGTTACATGAATACCAGTGACTGGACCTGTTCTCCTAAATGATCCTTTTGTTGTTTGTTGTTCAAATGCCTACTTTATCATGAGGCCTTGAACGCATCACAAGGGTTATTAGGCGCTTTCACACCAAGTACTTTGCCGTACTTAGTTCATCAGAACTTAGTTCATGAGAACTCTTTAGTTCTCATGAACTAAGTTCTACTGAAGCCTTCCGAGTAAATCACCAGAACGCAGACACCTCCTCATCTCCACCGCTCCCATGTTTTATTTTGTGTTGCCATAAGTTAGTCTCTCTGCGTTTGTGCGCTGGGCTAATGCTAATGCTAATAATGCTAATGCTAATAATGCTAATGCTAATAATGCTAATGCCAGGAAAATAAAATGGCGGCTTCACAAAACGTTTTTGGAGTTCTACGGGGCGTGGTTTGCAATCCGCCCAGCCAATCAGACATAGGAACCTTTTTCTCCCAGGAAAGTCCCTGCTCTCTAGCAGAGACGGAAAATGGGGTGAAAAGGTTCATGAACTCATTTCTAGTTCCGGATTTTTTTGGTGTGAACGCACATTTTCTGAACTATATTGGAACTCTACTGGGAAAAGTACTCCGGTGTGAAAGCCTGTTTGTTTGTTTGTTCGCACTATTTGTTTGTTCGCGAGGCTTGCCTTGGTCCCTGTTCTCATACTGCCATGTTCCTGGAAGAGGGATGGGGAAGGTCACTGCACTCGTGGTTGCCTATGAAGTCAACAATGTTGAGTTCTCCACCACTGGCAATGATCTGGGTCATGCGCAGAAGGGCAGTGACTTCATTGCTCTTGCCAGGTGCAGAGGTTTTCCCGCCAGACTTCTGTGGTTTCATCCTGTTTTGTGTGTGGAAGGTGTTTAGCTTTACAACACTTGTCTTCTTCTGGTCACTGGACAGTGATTCTGACGATGCTTTCAAACCAACTGCTTTCACACTTGTCAGGTTGTCCTTGACTGTGGCATCTGCACATTCGCCAGTAGATATATTGATCAGGGATGGTGTGGCTGTCGTGAATGGGTTGGTCTCTACTGCTGCCATGACCTTGACTACCGTCTCTGCATCCCTGTTGACACGACTGGAGGAATGGAGGTGCAGCGTAGACTTGAGACCCACTTCATCCTGGCAGCACGATTGAGTGTAATACCATCCAGACCACTTGCCTCCTTGGCATCTGCATTATATGTCTGCTCCAGAAGCATGTCAGGACAGACACCATTGTGGTTTCCATCTGCTCTCCTTCCAACAAATGCACCTGCCATCAGTGCTTCATGTGCCTCTGGGGCTGTCTCTGGCAGTCTCTTCATCTCAGCCAAATACAGAGGCAAAGACTGCTGCCCATATTTGTAGTGTCCTGCTGCAGTGAGGTAAGGTAGCATCCGTGCTGATTCACAGAGATGTCCTGCCCAGTTACCTTCCCGCTGGTAGTAGATGAACCTGTGGAGAATGTCTGACATCTCCAGAAAGATTGACCTGAAAACTGCAGTTGGGTGCTCATTCAGAGATTCCTGGAAAAGTAACACCTGTTCTTGTAGGATTGATATCTGTGGACGTGACTTCTAGATGATCTCCAACTTCTCAGTAGCAGTGGTGTCTTTCTCAAACAACATCTTCACAACATGTTCTCCTTGTGACTGCCTGTGTTGTGTTTCTCTGTCTGCTGCACATGCCTCAAATGCTTGCCAGTACAGGCGCCACATGGCCTCGCTGAGGATCCTGAGGGCATGCATGGTTTGGTAGTAGGGGTTGCATTATTCGGACCCTCACTGTAGCTTTCCAGTAGCTAGTTGACTGGGTTGTGATCCTTGAAGGTCCTAGATATCATTTCTGGTGGTCAATCTTTCCCTGGGTACCATGTAAAGCCTTAAAAGGCGCTATACAAATGTAATCTATTATTTATTTTTTTAGAATTGGAGATGAATGTGTCATGTTAAAAACTTATAATATATCTCTTCTGTTTCCTCCCTCAGTGTATGACACCACCTCACAGTCCCAGCTTCCCCTCTGAGACCTCCGCCCCCCTTTCAGAGACCTCAGAGACCTCCACCCCCCCAGGTGGACTCCTGCGTCCTCACCAGCGTCATCCGCCACACTGACAGCCTCGCCCCCTCACCCCAGCCTGCACAGACCCCCTCACCCCAGCCTACACAGAACCCTTTACCCCAGCCTGCACAGAACCCTTTACCCCAGCCTACACAGACCCCCTCACCCCAGCCTGCACAGAACCCTTTACCCCAGCCTGCACAGAACCCTTTACCCCAGCCTGCACAGAACCCTTTACCCCAGCCTACACAGACCCCCTCACCCCAGCCTACACAGACCCCCTCACCCCAGCCTACACAGACCCCCTCACCCCAGCCTGCACAGAACCCTTTACTCCAGCCTGCACAGAACCCTTTACCCCAGCCTGCACGGAACCCTTTACTCCAGCCTGCACAGACCCCCTCACAGACCCCCTCACAGATCCCCTCGCCACCTCTGCTCTGCCAGGTGTTCAGCAGCCGCTCGGGGTTGATCTCCGCCTTCATGCAGGCGCCCATGCAAGTGTTCGTTGTGCCGCAGGCGTCCGCAGCGCCACACGCCGTCATGACGCTGGGCAACACTAAGCTCCTCCCCCTGGCGCCGGCGCCCGTCTACCTGCCGTCCGGAGCGAGCGGCGGCGTCACGCAGGCAGACTTCTCCCGACGCCGAAACTACGTCTGCAACTTCCCCGGCTGCAAGAAAACCTACTTTAAGAGCTCGCACCTGAAGGCTCACCTGCGCACACACACAGGTGAGGCTCTGCTTTCATTGGTCAGCTCATTTGAAGCCATGGTTGTGTTTCTATACTGTTGGAAAGATCTCACTCATCACTGCTTGAGCTTCAACATCAGGATCCATGTATCTGTGATCCTCTCCAGAATGGAAGTAGTCATCACATACAGAGCATCAACTAGTTCCTGAACAGTGTCCTTCACATGCTGATATCCAAGAGAGGGAGTTACACAGTCACAAGATGGAGGAATAGAAAGCAGTATTCAATAGCCGCGTTCACACCGGAGTACTTTTCCCCGTACTTTTCGCGTTTAGTTCCGTTAGTACCCCTTATGTCGCGTTCACACCAAAAAGAATACTTAGTGCCGGGAACTTTTCCCCCCATGTTTAGTGCCTGCTGAGAGATGGTACTTTCCTGGGGGAAAAAAGTGCCCCAGTTCTGATTGGCTGGGCGAATTGCAAACCACGCCCCGTAAAACTCTGAAATGTTTTGTAGAGCCGCCATTTTATTATCCTGGCATTAGCATTATTAGCATTAGCATTGGCCCAGCGCACAAACGCAGAGAGACTAACTTATGGCAACACAAAAGAAAACATGGGAGCGGTGGAGATGAGGAGGTGTCGGCGTTCTGGTGATTTACTCTGAAGGCTTCAGTAGAAGCTGCTGGGAGTCCCAGCAGCTTCTACTGAAGCCTTCCCCAACTCCGGGGACTTCCGGCCGGGGACTCCGGGTGGCAGTATACGCCGTGAAGTGGTTTGAGGCCTGCCAGTAAACCCAAAGCAGAAGAAGACGAAGTGACGTCAGCGGCTTCATTTGCGTAATCTTCCCTCAGGGAACTTATTCTGGTGTGAACGCGATCTGTACCAAGTGCCCTGGGGTAATAAGTGCCGGGGCACTAAGTGCCGGCTCTAAGTACGGCAAAGTACTTGGTGTGAACGCGGCTAATGTTTACTTCAGATTAGCTCCACGTCAGAAATGAGCATGCTTGTCATATGTCTCTCTCCATAGAGGCTGAATCATCATGTTAATCACATAGCTATCATATGCCTCAAACAGTCCTGATGCTCTTCTAGGTAATCATACATCCTGTCATGTTCACAGCTACAGTTGGGATACCTTTGTTAGCATGCTACTCTCAGATTGGAAGAGTATATTCAGTATTTTCCCAACACTATACTAATGAAGGGTTCTGGTTCTGCTGTTCCCCTGCAGGCGAGAAGCCGTTCAGCTGTCACTGGGAAGGCTGCGATAAGAAGTTCGCCCGATCCGACGAGCTGTCGCGACACCGCCGGACGCACACGGGCGAGAAGAAGTTCGTCTGCAGCGTCTGCGAGCGGCGCTTCATGCGCAGCGATCACCTGACTAAACACGCCCGGCGTCACATGACCACAAAGAGGGCGTCGTCGTGGAGCGCCGAGCCCCGCGACCTCAACAGAGGCCCCGCCCCCTCACTTCCTGTCGGCGTGCTGGTGAGCACCGCCAACTAACAGTCAACTCAGGAACCAAACTGTGACTCTCAATCAGCTCCACATCCGGAGGAACTTTTTTTCTACAGATATCTCTGCTGGCCAGAAGCTGAGCGCCGGCTGCGTCTGCGCGAGATTCAGCGTGAACTCAAATAAAGTCATTATAACTCTTTAGGGTTTATCTTAGAGATCTTCAGGTGAACTAAAGGTAGCTTCCCTTCTTTCCCTCTACCAGTGACCCTCTGAGGCTAAAACGCTCAGTACACTCCACGACCCCTAAAATCTGAATGCTAACGTTAGCATGTTAGCATGATAATGTCAAAACATTTTAACTTCCTGATTTTTAGCATGTTAACGAGCTCACAGTTAAATGCTAACATTTATTATGTAACGCTTAGAGTTTTACATGCTATCATGCCAACTTTTTAATAAGCGGACATAGGTGCAATTAGCATGCTAACGTTAGGCCGTTAGCATGATAATGTCAAAACATTTTAATTTCCGGATTTTTAGCATGTTAACGACTCAAAGTTAACATGTGCCGATGCTAACATTTAGTATGTAACGCTAAGAGTTTTACATGGTATTATGCCAACTTTTTAATAAGCGGACATAGGTGCAATTAGCATTCTAACGTTAGCATTAGCGCTGTTCGACTGATTTTTAAGATATCTGCAGCCCTTTAAAATAAACAGTAACCTTTAATTGTCCACCACAGTTGTTGTGTTTGGAAATCAGACTCAAAGCCCGCAGAAAATATGAGGTTTAAGGTGTTTTAAAAGTATATATATTAAGATAAAGATCTAATTAAATCGTGCAGACGCAGCCGGCGGACGTCGGATCGAGCTTCCCGACATCCTCAGGACGTTTTATTCCACAAACTCACCGTAAAGGAGGACGAGGCGACAGGCTGCTACTCTCACGGACAGACACCAACAGAAACCTGACATTGCACTGGATTTTTTTAATCTTGCTTGTTTTTGTACTCTCCGTGTATACTCATGTTTACTTCAATGTTTAGCAAAGATGTATGCACTCTTTTTATTTTTTGCCAAAGCCTCTGTATTGTGCTTCTGTTATTATTGTTATTGTTATTATTATTAGCCTACTTCTGTGTCTGTAAATACTGTAAATATATTGATATCTATATGAATGTGACGTGTATTCCAGTCTGCATTTATTGTACGAGTTATTGATATTTTACACATGTCAGTGGACAGTATTCCTCGCTGTGAGACTACCTACTATCTTTACACGGTTATTATTTAATGAAGCGTTTGTTGAGGAAGAAGTGCTGGTTTCTCCATAGTGTAGCCAGTAAGAAAATACCTCGTTATTAAATGTTATTCTTAATAATAACGGCTTATATATGAATAATCCCATCTTCTGAACATTTGCCTGTAAGCGATGTTGAAGAATATGGCTTTTATAATAAAAACGTACCATGAAAAATACGTGTTGTTTATTATTTCCCAATACATTACATCCAGTGGTTTCAGGTTATATTAGTGCATGGTAATGGTCTGCAGAGGCTCAAGTCCCTGTTTCCTCCAGAGGGAGCTTCTTAAACATGATTACAATTCAGAAATATAAACATGTGCTTCTGAACTGACCCCACATGGAACGGGTTGAGATATTTCAGTCTCTAATATATATCAGAAAACAGAGTCATGAGAGGAGCTTTAAATTATATATCTTTAGATAAAGCACATGTCCTATATATATCTGTATATAGTGTATAGTGTGTATATATATATCTGTATATAGTGTATATATCTGTATATAGTGTGTATATATATCTGTATATAGTGTATAGTGTGTATATATATCTGTATATAGTGTATATAGTGTGTATATATATATATCTGTATATAGGGTATATAGTGTGTATATATCTGTATATAGTGTATATAGTGTGTATATAGTGTGTATATATATCTGTATATAGTGTATATAGTGTGTATATAGTGTGTATATCTGCTCGACGACAGCAGCGTTGTTACGTGTTTGGTATAAAACACAAGAGCTACACAGCACCCGGTAACAGCGATTAACCAATCAGGAGCCAGCACGTAGGGGGTGTGACCAATGGGAGAGCGCGGCGAGGTGCCGGGAACCCTGAGAGTGGCGCGTGATTGGCTGATGAGGAACCCGCCCAGTTGCCTTACTGACCGACATTCACAAGAAGCCAAAGAGATGAATTAGAAATATATAAACAGCAGAGTAACAGCGACCCCCCGTGGCGGAGCGCAGTACTGCAGCGTCTTCAACATTATACACAACAATACATAATATAGGGGGGAGTACTCAGATATACTGCAGTAACGGTATATATAGATATACAGAATAGAACAATTTAGTTAAATATAATACAGTAAAGCAAAAAAACATCATTTAAAAATGAATGGAAACACAAGAAGTTTAAGTACAAATCTGTACTTTGTTTTTCACTTTCCAAAATAATACTGCACATATTTTATTGTATTATTCTAAGTACTGTGCAATAGTATACTGCAAGTAGTTTTTTAGTATATCCAGATTACATGTCCATCATTTTCTATATCTGAACGTAAAAAATTGTTTTTCATACTTTTTATACTGTGTTTATGTTTGAACCAAATACACTCAGATCAGGTACTTGAGTAGAAGTACTCAGATCAGGTACTTGAGTAGAAGTACTCAGATCTTGTACTTGAGTGAAAGTAGAAGTACTCAGATCTTGTGCTTGAGTAAAAGTAGAAGTACTCAGGTCTTGTACTTTAGTAAAAGTAGAAGTACTCAGATCTTGTGCTTGAGTAAAAGTAGAAGTACTCAGATCTTGTACTTGAGTAAAAGTAGAAGTACTCAGATCTTGTACTTGAGTAAAAGTAGAAGTACTCAGATCTAGTACTTGAGTAAAAGTAGAAGTACTCAGATCTTGTGCTTGAGTAAAAGTAGAAGTACTCAGGTCTTGTGCTTGAGTAAAAGTAGAAGTACTCAGGTCTTGTACTTTAGTAAAAGTAGAAGTACTCAGATCTTGTGCTTGAGTAAAAGTAGAAGTACTCAGATATTGTGCTTGAGTAAAAGTAGAAGTACTCAGGTCTTGTACTTTAGTAAAAGTAGAAGTACTCAGGTCTTGTACTTGAGTAAAAGTAGAAGTACTCAGATCTTGTACTTGAGTAAAAGTAGAAGTACTCAGATCTTGTACTTGAGTAAAAGTAGAAGTACTCAGGTCTTGTACTTTAGTAAAAGTAGAAGTACTCAGGTCTTGTACTTTAGTAAAAGTAGAAGTACTCAGGTCTTGTACTTGAGTAAAAGTAGAAGTACTCAGATCTTGTACTTGAGTAAAAGTAGAAGTACTCAGATCTTGTACTTTAGTAAAAGTAGAAGTACTCAGGTCTTGTACTTTAGTAAAAGTAGAAGTACTCAGGTCTTGTACTTTAGTAAAAGTAGAAGTACTCAGGTCTTGTACTTGAGTAAAAGTAGAAGTACTCAGATCTTGTACTTGAGTAAAAGTAGAAGTACTCAGATCTTGTACTTGAGTAAAAGTAGAAGTACCAGAGTGTAGGAATACTCTGTCACAGTAAAAGTAGTCTTTGTGCAGATTGGTCCATTTCAGAATAATATATATGATATGTTTTATAATACTTATAATGTGCACAAACCCCCCTGTGGCCAGGGGGCGTTACTACTGGTTACTACATTTTCCGCTGCATTCCGGAAACAGCTGATCAGCACCGCCTGTTTTGTGAGAGGGAACATTTAGGTTGTATTTGTAATTCTTTCGAAAGATAAATAACATCTAAGTTAACAAACACCAGAATGCAGCCGTTAAAGTAGTTATATGTTGATGATATGAGAAAATAAAGCATTTAAAAACATGTAACTTAACGTTAGGTTTACTTTCTCCCGTTTCAACGCGACTTATCACTTCCTCTTTAACAACATTATTATTATACATATTATACCTATTTACACAGGTGGAAGTACTCAGATGGACATGATTGGTTATAGATTAAACCATCCAACGTTATATGTAAGTAACTTAGACCATGGGTGGGTTAACAGAAAAGGAATTCAAACTAAACTAAGAGGTTTCTTGTTCACGGTTAAGCTTCTTAAATGTAATATTGGCTGCTTTTGGTTTTAATGGAGTATTTTCTCTACAATGAGTACTACACAATACTTGAACATGAGTATTTTAACAGTGTGGTATATTCTGTATAAAGTGTTAACCTTTTAACCGACTTTTAACCTGGTAGTTTAACTAATATATAGTCGTTTAAATGAAATTAAACAGGTTCATTAATGTTGTTGCAGATTCCCCGCAGCTGGCCTGCAGCACGTGATCTCTCTACTCGCCACCTGATTGGCTCCGTCACAGCGTCAGTTTAAAGAGCCCAGCGCCAGAGAGTTACAACCATAGATATATATATATAAACACAGATCGGTACAGATCGGGCAGGGGGACAGATCGGGTAGTGACAGTCACTACCCCAGGGATGCAAACTCATCAGGTATGAAAAAGGTGACAAGGATCCGAGCCCCCGACCCCCCGACCCCACGGGATATCAGCTTTAAAATGAGGAACAACAGGATGTTAGCAGTCAGAACAACTAAAGCAGTTAATAACATAAACGCCAAAGAGTCACATCTAATCGAAATATATAAAAGCATTTATTTTAATTGTGTAGCAGTCAGTTTATAATTTTGGCAGCACTGTTGAGCATTTTGAAGATGTCTCTGTGCAAGGCTTAGTCTTTCTATCTTTATAGCCAGTTGTGTAAAGTAACTAAGTTCATAAACTCAACAAGTACTATACTTGGTACAATTTTGAGATACTTGTACTTTATTTATGTATTTCAATGTTTTGCTACTTTGTTCTTCTACTCCACTACAGTTCAGAGGTACATGGTGTACTTCTACTCCTCTACAGTTCAGAGGTACATGGTGTACTTCTACTCCTCTACAGTTCAGAGGTACATGGTGTACTTCTACTCCTCTACAGTTCAGAGGTACATGGTGTACTTTTACTCCACTACAGTTCAGAGGTACATGGTGTACTTCTACTCCTCTACAGTTCAGAGGTACATGGTGTACTTCTACCCCTCTACAGTTCAGAGGTACATGGTGTACTTCTACTCCTCTACAGTTCAGAGGTACATGGTGTACTTCTACTCCTCTACAGTTCAGAGGTACATGGTGTACTTCTACTCCACTACAGTTCAGAGGTACATGGTGTACTTCTACTCCTCTACAGTTCAGAGGTACATGGTGTACTTCTACTCCTCTACAGTTCAGAGGTACATGGTGTACTTCTACTCCACTACAGTTCAGAGGTACATGGTGTACTTCTACTCCTCTACAGTTCAGAGGTACATGGTGTACTTTTACTCCTCTACAGTTCAGAGGTACATGGTGTACTTCTACTCCTCTACAGTTCAGAGGTACATGGTGTACTTCTACTCCACTACAGTTCAGAGGTACATGGTGTACTTTTACTCCTCTACAGTTCAGAGGTACATGGTGTACTTCTACTCCACTACAGTTCAGAGGTACATGGTGTACTTGTACTCCACTACATGTATTTAATCCCTTTAGTTACTTCACAGATGTGGATGAATGATGTGAAATATAACCAAGTGTTAAATCAGACTTTAGTTCCACCTGGAGTAAATTCACAAGCTACCCTGCAGTATACAAAGTCATTCAAACTAGCTGCACCTTTACCAGCTTTGAGAACACTTTCATGATCAATCATTATAAAACATATCATATATATTATTCTGAAATGGACCAATCTGCACAATGACTACTTTTACTGTCTCTACTTTCACTATATTTTGATGAGAATACTTTTCTACTTTCACTTGAGGAACATTTTGAATGCAGGACTTTTACTGTAACAGAGTATTCCTACACTCTGGTACTTCTACTTTTACTCAAGTACAAGATCTGAGTACTTCTACTTTTACTCTAGTACAAGACCTGAGTACTTCTACTTTTACTCAAGTACAAGACCTGAGTACTTCTACTTTTACTCAAGTACAAGATCTGAGTACTTCTACTTTTACTCAAGTACAAGATCTGAGTACTTCTACTTTTACTCAAGTAGTTTTTGACATGGAAATTATTTTTTAAGATTGACAAACATCATATGTGTAATTCATGGCACAATTCAAACGGGATCGAAAGATAATCTTTCTCTCTCCATTGACTTCAATACATTATTTTTCCGAAATAAGGTCCCATGGACCGGAAGTAGATGGGCGTGAACGGAGATGTCGTAACTCTTCCAAGCGCGAGCGGCGTTCCTATTGGCCGACTGCGTTCCGGCGCCAATATTCCAATATAAAGAGGGAGCAGACAGCAGCAGGAGCCGTTCAGTCTCTCCGTTGCTTTTAACTTTCACACCGTAACTTATTTCATTTTAAACCCGTCACAATGCTTTCTGCTCGCGCGCCTCTGTCCGCGAAGAAGGAGAACTCTCTCAGCAGTGAGATGAACAAGATGGCGCTGGACAAAGAAAACACGGTAAGAACTAAAAAGCAGCTTTTACCGTTTAAAGGACTCTTTGTTCGAGCCGTTAAACAAAGGAGCAGCAGTTTGTACCCACTGCAGCTTTATTGACCTTCATCTCGTGTGTGTGTTTCACTCAGATCCGATGAAATAAACGGTTTAAATCAGATTATTGTTTCTCTTTTTCAGCCCCCGAGCCTGAACACCACGCGCATTTTAGCGTCTAAAACCGCGCGGAAAATCTTCTCCGACTCAGAGGTGAGTTCAACCACAGACTGTTAATATCATATACATATATCTGTATGTATATATCTAAACACACATTAAAGTGTAGGATTATTAGTGTTTATGTCGATGTGGCGCCTAAAGTGTCAGTTCTGGCGCCAAACTGGACGGTCAGCTGTTGCCGTTTCAAATCAGCTGACGTCACTTCCTGTCTTTATTATGAGGTGTAGGAATACTCTGTTACAAGTAGAAGTACTGCATTCACAATATACTTCAAGTAGAAGTACTGCATTCAGAATATACTTCAAGTATAAAGTATTATCATCAAAATATAGTGAAAGTAGAGACAGTGAAAGTAGTCATTGTGCAGATTGGTCCATTTCAGAATAATATATATGATATGTTTTATAATGATTGATCATGAAAGTGTTCTCAAAGCTGGTAAAGGTGCAGCTAGTTTGAATGACTTTGTATACTGCAGGGTAGCTTGTGGATTTACTCCAGGTGGAACTAAAGTCTGATTTAACACTTTATTATATTTCACATCATTCATCCACATCTGTGAAGTAACTAAAGCTATTAAATACATGTAGGGAAGTACACAGTAGCAGAACATGGAAATACTTAAGTAGTATGTGCAGCATTGGACAGACTACATTGTTTAGTATCTGTACATGGCTTAGTATGTTGTAGTATCTGTATACACAGTGTAGTATTTGTGTACACTGTGTAGTATCTGTATACACAGTGCAGTATTTGTGTACACTGTGTAGTATCTGTATACACAGTGCAGTATTTGTGTACACTGTGTAGTATCTGTGTACACTGTAGTATTTGTAGTATCAGCGTCTGACCGCCTGTCTCTCAGCCCAAAGCGATGAAGAAGATTGAGGAAGAGGAGCCGCTGCTGAAGGAGAACCCTCGGCGCTTCGTGGTCTTCCCGATCCAGTACCACGACATCTGGCAGATGTACAAGAAGGCCGAGGCGTCGTTCTGGACCGCGGAGGAGGTACGTCCTGCTCTTCAGAACCTCAAAGCTTTATTAGTCCCTCAGAGGGGAACGTTATGCACTTCCTGTTGCTGTCTGTGGCTCTGAGAGCAGCTGATCTTAACTTCCTGTTGCTGTCTGTGTCTCTGAGAGCAGCTGATCTTAACTTCCTGTCTGTGTCTCTGAGCAGCTGATCTTAACTTCCTGTTGCTGTCTGTGTCTCTGAGAGCAGCTGATCTTAACTTCCTGTTGCTGTCTGTGTCTCTGAGAGCAGCTGATCTTAACTTCCTGTCTGCAGGTGGATCTGTCCAAGGACGTGCAGCACTGGGAGGCTCTGAAGGACGACGAGAGGTTCTTCATCTCTCACGTGTTGGCCTTCTTCGCCGCCAGCGACGGCATCGTCAACGAGAACCTGGTGAGAGTTCAGAGACGTTAGAGAACCTGGTGAGACGTTAGAGAACCTGGTGAGAGTTCAGAGACGTTAGAGAACCTGGTGAGACGTTAGAGAACCTGGTGAGAGTTCAGAGATGTTGGAGAACCTGGTGAGACGCTGGAGAACCTGGTGAGAGTTCAGAGACATTAGAGAACCTGGTGAGACGTTAGAGAACCTGGTGAGAGTTCAGAGACATTAGAGAACCTGGTGAGACGTTAGAGAACCTGTTGAGAGTTCAGAGACGTTAGAGAACCTGGTGAGAGTTCAGAGACGTTAGAGAACCTGTTGAGAGTTCAGAGACGTTAGAGAACCTGGTGAGAGTTCAGAGACGTTAGAGAACCTGTTGAGAGTTCAGAGACGTTGGAGAACCTGGTGAGAGTTCAGAGACGTTGGAGAACCTGGTGAGAGTTCAGAAGTTATAGCACATTTCCGCGCTGTAGTGGAAATGCGCCATAACGCCTTAAATGTTTTAAACCTTTTAAAATGTGTTTTCTAAATGGAGATTGGCTAAGCTAACGTAGTATATGCTCCGACCGTCCACACTCACAACAACGGCCTATACAGACATAAATAAAGCAGCGACTGTATTCGCCATGACACACACAGTCTGTGGTTTGTACTTTAACTGTTGTCTAGTTTCTGAACAGATACGAGGTAGGGCTGCTCGATTAATCTCGATTTATTTGGGTCAATAATTGTAAATGCGATTATTCATTGACTTTGAAAACATCCATTTATTGTACTTTAAAACAAATACAAATAATAATTTGAACTTTTTAACTGTTGAATTATACGTTCAGGGTAATCAACTGAAAAACCAATATAAAATAAATTATACATTCATATCTACATTTAAATAAATAATATCAAAATAATAAATACCAATAAACAAGATCAACAAACATGTTGCAGTGCACGGTCACAACCTGACAACTCCTTAACATATTCCACTCAGTTAAACATTAAAGGCTGGCCCACCGTCATGGTCCAGAAGTAACAGGAAATAAATGTTGAACTACAATTTAAGACCAAATAAAAATGTTTTGGCCTCCATGGCACATGCTGGTAGGGCTGCTCAGTTCATCTCTTTAACCTGTTCCACTCTGAGCCTGTTTTTCAGGTCTCAGGCTCGAAAATGACATTCCCAGAACAAATGACCATATCTTCCCTTCTAAAAGGGTTAAATTAATAATCTTTTCTCAAAGTAATGATAAACCTGTGAGTTGGATGTAGAAGTGTCAGAATCAATATAGATGTTTTTTATTTTAAAGAAAATTCAGATTTTACATAGTAAAAAACTGTAAATTATAGTGTCCGTCCAAAAATTATTTTTTACAGATAGTGAAAACTACCCTTGGATGATGGGTTAGTAGACTAAAAGCTTTAGGAATCCAAAGTACAACATATAATAAGTACCCTGTATCAAGATTGATGCAAAAATAAGTGAAATTTGACCTTTTTAGAGAGATTTAGCCAAAAACTGGGCCATCTGGGGTCATTTGGGTGGATTTGACCTATCTCTGGCCCCCCTTGCTCGATCTGGTTGGTTGACATACCCTTGTGACTGTTAGAGCCAATAGAATCGAAGGAGGAGACTCTCATACACATACATTATAAAGAAAAAATGTTGCCGCTTCGCGTGTGGAAAGCGAAACTAAACTGGAGGAATGTCTCCTTCTGGAGTTTGGAAACTAAAACGCAGTTGTATTGCTTATGGATTATCAGAAATAATTTCAAAGAAGGCACAGACACATAGGATGAACCTATGGATTAACTGCAGCATCGTTTTTTTATTGTTTTAATGCCATTGAAGACCACTTTTGACCAAGGTGAGCCATATTTACATGTTTAGCTTCTTGGCTCCACATGTGGTGATGTACGCTTTCGTTTATAGCGTCGCGAATGTTTATCACTGAGTGTTGAGGTGGGCACCGTTAGATTCAGTGTCTCCAGGACACCAAAAAATAGTGTTTGGTTGTGCATCTAGGATAAGTAATAAGGGAGTTAGAGTGAGTTTATGTGCCTTTGTCGGTCCCGTTTTTTCGATCGAGGCTAATTCAGAGGCTGAGTGCTAGCATTGTGGGGTTTTTTTGATTTTTTTTTTTAAAAGATCAGTTAGCTGAGTTTCTTCCCGTTACATGGATATAACACATTCATAGTTTTATTCAATATTAAGATTCCTTAGACGTTGTTTCCTGCAAATGACGCGTTTATCCGCCCGGTACCGGGGGGAAGGCGTGAAACACTAGAAACACCAGCCTGTTTACCAGGGATGCCAGCGATTATTCTAATATTAGTTACAGTCTCCATAATCTTAAAATTCGATTTTATTTATATTAGGGCTGTCAGTCGATTTAAAATAGTTAATCGCGATTAAATCGCACATTTTTATCTGTTCTAAATGTACCTTAGAGGGATATCTTCTTCAAGTTTTTTAATACTCTTATCAACATATGAGTGGACAAATATGCTTTATATGTTTGTTTATTATCATTTGAACAATGACAAATATTCTCATGAATATTAAACACAACAACCTGAACATTACAAATATTAGCCTCAATTCAACCCAGAACCTCTCTCTCGTGTGTGTGTGTGTGTGGGCACTGAGTGTGTGTGTGTGTGTGTGTGTGGGGGCACTGAGTGTGTGTGTGTGTGGGGGCACTGAGTGTGTGTGTGTGTGGGCACTGAGTGTGTGTGTGTGTGTGGGCACTGAGTGTGTGTGTGTGTGGGGGCACTGAGTGTGTGTGTGTGTGGGCACTGAGTGTGTGTGTGTGTGGGCACTGAGTGTGTGTGTGTGTGTGTGGGCACTGAGTGTGTGTGTGTGTGTGTGTGGGCACTGAGTGTGTGTGTGTACTGAGTGTGTGTGTGGGGGCACTGAGTGTGTGTGTGTGTGGGCACTGAGTGTGCTGTCTGGCTACCTGCATAAAGTCAAGTGCTCGGCGCAGTGTCGCTCCTCTGTTTTCATTGAAACAGCTCCTTATAGCCGTTAGCTCAGCTAGCACCAGATGCTAACAACAACACGTAAGGTGTGCCTCGCTCGCGCCACACATACACACGTCCTCCCGATGGCCAGTCCGGGCCTGCCGGTGAGCGTGGAAGTGTGGTCTGCCACAAGCGGGCAGCAGGAGCGGGGCTGTCAGCATCAGCTTATCGATGGTATTTTAAACTCAATGCGCTCTGAAACTACGGGGCGGCCGAGGACAAAAAATACACATGCGTTAATCGCGTTAAAATAATTAGTGGCGTTAATTTTTTTTTGCGTTATTAACACGTTAACTTGACAGCCCTAATTTATATATATTTTTTTATTAATATTTATGTTTTTCTTTTCCTGGCTTAGTTTCAACCAAAATATAGACTAATGCTAATAATAGTAATAGTATTAATAATTGTAAATGGCCATTGGTCACACCACCATTTTGTTTTACTGTAAACTTGGAGGAAGCCAGCAGCGCAGAGTGCAGCCTGCTACACCCCGCCCCCCCCCCCCTCTCCGTCACACGTGCGATTGATTTATTTATTTACAGAACAGTGAGAACAACACAACTAAAGAAGAACAAAGCGGCACGTTCAAAGAAGAGTTCCTCGTGGAACTACTTCGAACTGATAAGTGCAAATGAAGTAAAATGCAAGCTCTGCGAAAAGACTTTGGTCAACAATGCGTTCGCATTTGAGTGCGAAGCATGCCAAAGAAGTGCCTCCAGAGAAAGACAGCCGGCCATTACTAACTTCACTTCCATCTGTCTGTTTTCCTCTCCCGCGGGGGGGGGGGGGGGGATTAATCGATTAATATTCGTCAGGGCTGTCCGATTTTTTTAATTTGATCGTGGTCAGTTTCTGGCCTACTGTTTACATGCTCTGGTTTCAGAGATGAGCGCAGGCAGGTGACCATATTGCCACCTGTACTGAAGACTAGGATCTCGATTATTTGGGTCAATAATTGATATCACGATTATTAAAAACGATTATCCATTTACTTTGAAAACATCAATTTATTGGAGAAATGTTTTTTGAACTGTATGTTTTTAACAGTTGATTTCCCTGAACTTTAAGTAGAATTCAACTGAAAAACCAATAAAAAAGTAATAATAATTAAAAAAAATCGCTTTATTTCGATTACGTTGTTTTCGTAATTGTTGCAAGTCGTAATCGCGATTAAAATACGATTTTAATTGAGCAGCCCTAATATGAGGAGCTCTGAGTGCTAACAGCTAACGGCTGTGTTGTTTTTCTGGGGTTCTCATTGAAGATCACGTCACGGCTCCGCCTACACTGCGTTACTATAGTTACTGCCCCAATTCCTAAACTGTAATGAAATGCGCCATAAAGTGAGCCAGTCCTAACGAGGCCTAGCCATACCGAGCGAGGCCGAGTAGTGGAAATGCGCCATAAAGTGAGCCAGTCCTAACGAGGCCTAGCCATACCGAGCGAGGCCGTGTAGTGGAAATGCGCCATTAGAGAACCTGGTGAGAGTTCAGACGTTGTCTTTGCTCTCTGCTGATTGGCTGTGATGCTCTCTCTCTGCTGATTGGCTGTGACTGACTTCCTGCTGTTCCTCGTGTCTCCACCAGGTGGAGCGCTTCTCACAGGAGGTGCAGGTGACGGAGGCCAGGTGTTTCTATGGTTTCCAGATCGCCATGGAGAACATCCACTCAGAGATGTACAGCCTCCTGATCAACACCTACATCAAGGAGCCCGCAGAGAGGTGAGTCACACGGTCTGATGGTGTGTTCAATGACCCTGACAGTAATCGGTACAGGGCTGAACGCTAACTTTTAAAAGTGGTTGCCAGGCAACCAGGCATCAGCTTTTGGTTGCCAAAACTGAAAATACGGTTGCCATTTTTAGTCACCTTATATTTTAAATAGATACTATACAGTTATACATCAACTTAATAATGAACATGTGACACAAAAGAATGCTTTACAAGAAGTAATCACAATTATTTGAAACTGAAGTGGAAGGAAACTTGTCCTCCCTCAATGGCTGGTATCCTAAACACCAGTAGTGCAGCTGCTGTTCTTCAGAGGAGATCGAGCAAGTCACTAGTCCCTTGACCTTTGTGCTGACCCCACCACAGACCCACTGGCCCTTCAGCATTGAAGTCTTGGATTGGCCAGACTACATTTCTAATGTTAAATGAAAACCATTCACAGTTAAGAATTAGATATTAATTATTAATGCTGTAAATTACCTTTATGTCTAACTATATTTAATATGTCTAACTATATTTAATATGTCTAACTATATTTAATATGTCTAACTATATTTAATATGTCTAACTATATTTAATATGTCTAACTATATTTAAAATGTCTAACTATATTTAAAATGGGTTACCTTTTTATAGAAGTGATTATATTTGTATGCCAATATGTTCCTATGGTAAAGTTTCGTTTTGCACCTTTATTTTGGTATTAATAAGATCGGGACTCTTATTTTGAAGGAGCTTTTACCGGAGCAGGATTCAGATTCAACTTTATTGTCATTACGTAGTACTAGTGACGAAATGTAGAATGTTTCGCCTCCCAAGACTTTACAAATGTCCTCTTTGCTGTTCGTTCGGGTTCACCTTACGCTTTATCAGTTGCATCACTTTGAACATTCGTTTGAGATGTCGACGGGTTGGCCGAACGTTTACCCCAACAACAACTTCATTTGCTTCGCCATTTTTTGTAAAACAAACACACGGCGAGTAAACGTGCATCGCTTTCTGGCTCCGTAACCACACCAATGCACGAGCAACTTAAGTCTCAGGTTCCGACTGGTCACAACAATTATTAAATATCACTCTTAATAAAACAAATAATGAGCCCGTGTCTCCTGTGGGGTGCCCAGCTGTTTGATGTTCTTATTGCTTTATGTTAAAAACTGGCCAAGAAGTCGTTCACGTTTCTTCTGAATGTTTGACCGTTACTGTCGAGCCCTGCAGCATCTGGAGACTCATTGTTCTCATCCCCTCAGAGAGTTCCTGTTTAACGCCGTGGAGACGCTGCCCTGCGTGAAGAAGAAGGCCGACTGGGCCATCAACTGGATCGGGAACAAGAGCGCCAACTACGGTGAGAGGGGGGGGTCCGGGGTCCATGTTCACATCCTTTAGTCATCAATATCTGACAGGAAGTGCTGCTGAGTCAGTGAGTGACTGAGAGTCTGTGATGATGAGCCGCGCAGGGGTACGGACCTCAGCCAATGATGGGGGCTGACTGCTGCTGCGCTCTGATTGGAGGACGAGTGGTCAGCTGACAGAGCGGCAGCAGCAGGAAACAGACGCCGCGCTGAACAGACAGTGAACGCACCGTGTTGAGTTCAAATGACAGAAAATAAGATGCAACAGAGTTAAACACATAATACACATTTAGATAATAATAAAGTAACTATTGAAACTCGATCTCACCGTGAGAAGTGATGAGAGAACACGTTGAATATATTCTGGAGATGAAGGAAGAAGGAACCTTATTTATAAATTCAGTTGTTGGGAGCAACCGGTCAGAGTTACGCTGATATCTGATGGTTCCAACTCTGGTTCTAACTGGTGCTCATGGTTCCTCTGGTTCTAACTGGTTCTGGTCCTCATGGTTCCTCTGGTTCTAACTGTGGTTCTGGTCCTCATGGTTCCTCTGGTTCTAACTGGTTCTGGTCCTCATGGTTCCTCTGGTTCTAACTGTGGTTCTGGTCCTCATGGTTCCTCTGGTTCTAACTGTGGTTCTGGTCCTCATGGTTCCTCTGGTTCTAACTGTGGTTCTGGTCCTCATGGTCCTTGTTCTAACTGTGGTTCTGGTCCTCAGGAGAGCGCGTGGTGGCCTTCGCGGCCGTGGAGGGGATCTTCTTCTCCGGGTCCTTCGCTGCCATCTTCTGGCTGAAGAAGAGAGGCCTGATGCCCGGACTCACCTTCTCCAACGAGCTCATCAGCAGAGACGAGGTACATCATCATCATCATCATCATTATTAATGTAGGGTCTCGGGGATAAAAGAGTGGTATTAAATGATAGGGTCCTCTCACTGTGGTGCGTTCATGGTCTTCACTGTTACTTTGCCTGTGTGATGTTCATTCTGTGGTGCGTTCAGGGTCTTCACTGTGACTTTGCCTGACTGATGTTCATTCTGTGGTGCGTTCAGGGTCTTCACTGTGACTTTGCCTGACTCATGTTCATTCTGTGGTGCGTTCAGGGTCTTCACTGTGACTTTGCCTGACTCATGTTCATTCTGTGGTGCGTTCAGGGTCTTCACTGTGACTTTGCCTGACTCATGTTCATTCTGTGGTGCGTTCAGGGTCTTCACTGTGACTTTGCCTGTCTGATGTTCAAACACCTGGTGAACAAACCGTCTGAAGACACCGTCAGTGACATCATCAGGGACGCCGTGACCATCGAGCAGGTAAGCCCCGCCTCCTCTCTCTCTCTCTGCTTCCTGTCCGTCAGCTAACTCCTCCCCCTCTCTCAGGAGTTCCTGACGGAGTCTCTGCCCGTCAAACTGATCGGGATGAACTGCGATCTGATGAAGCAATACATCGAGTTCGTGGCTGACCGCCTGATGCTGGAGCTGGGCTTCTCCAAGGTACTAATACACACATTTATATATACTAATACATACTAATACACACATTTATATATACTGATACACATATTTATATCTACTAATACACACATTTATATATATATATTTAATATCTGTCAGTTTATATCCAATAATCATCAATATCTCTCCTGAAATATGCCTAAATCAATATCTGTCAGTTTGTACTCTTTAATCGTCGGGAAATATCCAATAATCATCTATATCAGTTTAAATCAGTCATTATCTGACAGGAAGTGCTGCTGAGTCAGTGATTGATTGAGAGTCTGTGATGATGAGCCGCGCAGGGGTACGGACCTCAGCCAATGATGGGGGCTGACTGCTGCTGCGCTCTGATTGGAGGACGAGTGGTCAGCTGACAGAGCGGCAGCAGCAGGAAACAGACGCCGCGCTGAACAGACAGTGAACGCACCGTGTTGAGTTCAAAAGAGCTCCAGTGGAAAGTCGTGCGTTTGTGTGAACATGTTGAATATATTGAGTGTTGAGTTCAAAGTGTTCTCGTGTGTTCTAGATCTTCCGCGCGGAGAACCCCTTCGACTTCATGGAGAACATTTCTCTGGAGGGCAAGACCAACTTCTTCGAGAAGCGCGTGGGCGAATACCAGAGGATGGGCGTGATGTCGGGGACCAGCGACAACACCTTCAGGCTGGACGCTGACTTCTGAGGCCCTGAACGCACCACGGAGAGGCCCTGAACGCACCACGGAGAGACCCTGAACGCACCACGGAGAGAGACCCTGAACGCACCACGGAGAGAGACCCTGAACGCACCACGGAGAGAGACCCTGAACGCACCACACAGGCCCTGAACACACCACGGAGAGACCCTGAATGCACCCCGGAGAGAGACCCTGAACGCACCCTGGAGAGACCCTGAACGCACCCTGGAGAGACCCTGAACGCACCACGGAGAGAGGCCCTGAACGCACCCCGGAGAGAGACCCTGAACGCCCCACACAGACCCAGAGAGAGACAGAAACCTCTCCTTTAACCTCCTCTCTGATCTGCACAGTATTTAATCCCGAGAGGAAGACCTACTTAGTTTTTATCTAACGTGCTATATTAGTATGTTTCTATAGAACGACCTGATGTGTTTTTAGTTACGCTTTGTACAGTTTTTGTAATAAAATGAAATATAATGCACCTAAAAGTCTCCTTTCTGTTAACTGGTGTAGAAATATGATTTTACTGAATGTCTTCTAAATATCATGAAGTCACTGATCGGGGAAATGTACCTTTGTAACAATCAGCTTATATTTTTAGTCTAGTTACCATTGAACAAGGTCTGGAGCTACTGTGGTAATGTAACCAGGCAAAGAGAGAGGCTGAAAATGAAGTGTCCTCTAAATAATAAAGTTCCCCCCCCAAACTAAAACCCAGACAGTATGGCATCACAAAGATGGTTTAATTGTCCCAAACATTCAACACCTCCAACAAAAGTACAAATTATAACTGGAATAATTCTCAGGCAAATGTCCAACTTGGAATGCAGTCTTCTTGGTACGGCTGAATAATCCCAACGAAAGCAAAAATAATAAATCTAAAATCTCTCCAAAAAAGGTAATCCAAGAGAAACACTAATCACTCTGGGTTTGTGATGAACCTTGGTTGCTGATTGGCTAATGGTTACACGAGACAAAGCATCGTTATGACATCAAGAGCAAGACTGAGGTTATCTTTTTTGGACCCCAACCTCTAGCCTCCCAGGTTGATATTCTGGGCTCCCTAAAAAATAATATCCTCCCCTCTGTCACGAACCTTGGAGTGACCTTCAATAGCGCTTTTAAATTCGACAAGCAGGTCAGCAGCGTAGTCAAATCCTGCTTTTTTTAAATATGACTATTGGCCAAAACCAAGTCGTTTTTATCGTTTGAGGACCTGGAAAGGGTTAATGCCTTTGTTACCTCAAGACTGGACTATTGCAACGCTCTGTATGTGGGTATGGACCAGGCCTCAATTAAACGCCTGCAGCTAGTCCAAAACGCTGCTGCACGTTTGCTGACTGGCCACAAAAAGCGTGACCACATCACCCCTATTCTGGCCTCACTGCACTGGCTTCCAGTTCGGTTCAGAATTGATTTTAAAATCCTTTTATTTGTTTTTAAAGCACTAAATGGGCTGGCTCCGGCCTATATAGCTGAACTCCTCCAGCGCTACACCCCAGCCAGAGCTTTAAGGTCTGCTGACCAGCTGCTGCTGGTAGTGCCCAAGACCAGGCTCAAAACCCGAGGGCACCGAGCCTTCTCAGCAGCTGGCCCTAGGCTCTGGAACACTCTGCCCCTCCATGTGAGGTCGGCCCAGACCCTAGGGGTTTTTAAATCTACGCTAAAAACTCACTTCTTCTCTCTGGCCTTCTAGTTAGAGCGGAGCACGACTCCTGACTTTTCCTTGTGTTTTCTTTATTGTCTTTTATTGTGCTTATAGAAATGTGTTTTTATGTGATTGTAGTTATTACATGTACAGCACTTTGGCCTGACCAAAAATCGCTTTTAAATGTGCTTTATAAATAAACCTTGATTTGATTTGATTAAAAGTGTCCAAAATCTGATCAGCTCATTTTCAGACAGGTTTTTATAGAAATGGATCAAAAAGAGAGAGAATCTTTGTTCCTGAAACTTTCAGAGTCTCTTTCCACAGAGGGGACACATGTTGATGTAGAAGAGACATGAAGAAGAGGGGACACATGTTGATGAAGAAGAGACATGAAGAAGAGGGGACACATGTTGATGTAGAAGAGACATGAAGAAGAGGGGACACATGTTGATGTAGAAGAGACATGAAGAAGAGGGGACACATGTTGATGTAGAAGAGACATGAAGAAGAGGGGACACATGTTGATGAAGAAGAGACATGAAGAAGAGGGGACACATGTTGATGTAGAAGAGACATGAAGAAGAGGGTCACATGTTGATGTAGAAGAGACATGAAGAAGAGGGGACACATGTTGATGTAGAAGAGACATGAAGAAGAGGGGACACATGTTGATGTAGAAGAGACATGAAGAAGAGGGGACACATGTTGATGAAGAAGAGACATGAAGAAGAGGGGACACATGTTGATGTAGAAGAGACATGAAGAAGAGGGGACACATGTTGATGAAGAAGAGACATGAAGAAGAGGGGACACATGTTGATGTTAGAAGAGACATGAAGAAGAGGGGACACATGTTGATGAAGAAGAGACATGAAGAAGAGGGACACATGTTTGATGTAGAAGAGACATGAAGAAGAGGGGGGACACATGTTGATGAAGAAGAGACATGAAGAAGAGGGGACACATGTTGATGAAGAAGAGACATGAAGAAGAGGGGACACATGTTGATGTAGAAGAGACATGAAGAAGAGGGGACACATGTTGATGAAGAAGAGACATGAAGAAGAGGGGACACATGTTGATGAAGAAGAGACATGAAGAAGAGGGGACACATGTTGATGTAGAAGAGACATGAAGAAGAGGGGGCACATGTTGATGTAGAAGAGACATGAAGAAGAGGGGACACATGTTGATGATAAGAAGAGACATGAAGAAGAGGGGACACATGTTGATGAAGAAGAGACATGAAGAAGAGGGGACACATGTTGATGAAGAAGAGACATGAAGAAGAGGGGACACATGTTGATGAAGAAGAGACATGAAGAAGAGGGGACACATGTTGATGTAGAAGAGACATGAAGAAGAGGGGACACATGTTGATGAAGAAGAGACATGAAGAAGAGGGGACACATGTTGATGAAGAAGAGACATGAAGAAGAGGGGACACATGTTGATGAAGAAAAGACATGAAGAAGAGGAGACACGTGTTGATGAAGAAGAGACATGAAGAAGAGGGGACACGTGTTGATGGAAAGAGAGAGACATGAAGAAGAAGAGGGGACACGTGTTGATGAAGAAGAGACATGAAGAAGAGGGGACACATGTTGATGTAGAAGAGACATGAAGAAGAGGGGACACATGTTGATGAAGAAGAGACATGAAGAAGAGGGCTTTGCCTGATAGGGGACTCTTTAAAGTCAGAGGGCTTTGCCTGATAGGGGACTCTTTAAAGTCAGAGGGCTTTGCCTGATAGGGGACTCTTTAAACTCAGAGGGCTTTGCCTGATAGGGGACTCTTTAAACTCAGAGGGCTTTGCCTGATAGGGGACTCTTTAAACTCAGAGGGCTTTGCCTGATAGGGGACTCTTTAAAACTCAGAGGGCTTTGCCTGATAGGGGACTCTTTAAAGTCAGAGGGCTTTGCCTGATAGGGGACTCTTTAAACTCAGAGGGCTTTGCTGATAGGGGACTCTTTAAAACTCAGAGGGCTTGCCTGATAGGGGACTCTTTAAACTCAGAGGGCTTTGCCTGATAGGGGACTCTTTAAAGTCAGAGGGCTTTGCCTGATAGGGGACTCTTTAAACTCAGAGGGCTTTGCCTGATAGGGGACTCTTTAAACTCAGAGGGGCTTTGCCTGATAGGGGACTCTTTAAACTCAGAGGGCTTTGCCTGATAGGGGACTCTTTAAACTCAGAGGGCTTTGCCTGATAGGGGACTCTTTAAACTCAGAGGGCTTTGCCTGATAGGGGACTCTTTAAACTCAGAGGGCTTTGCCTGATAGGGGACTCTTAAAACTCAGAGGGCTTTGCCTGATAGGGGACTCTTTAAACTCAGAGGGCTTTGCCTGATAGGGGACTCTTTAAACTCAGAGGGCTTTGCCTGATAGGGGACTCTTTAAAGTCAGAGGGCTTTGCCTGATAGGGGACTCTTTAAACTCAGAGGGCTTTGCCTGATAGGGGACTCTTTAAACTCAGAGGGCTTTGCCTGATAGGGGACTCTTTAAACTCAGAGGGCTTTGCCTGATAGGGGACTCTTTAAACTCAGAGGGCTTTGCCTGATAGGGGACTCTTTAAACTCAGAGGGCTTTGCCTGATAGGGGACTCTTTAAACTCAGAGGGCTTTGCCTGATAGGGGACTCTTTAAACTCAGAGGGCTTTGCCCTGATAGGGGACTCTTTAAACTCAGAGGCTTTGCCTGATAGGGGACTCTTTAAACTCAGAGGGCTTTGCCTGATAGGGGGACTCTTTAAAGTCAGAGGGCTTTGCCTGATAGGGGACTCTTTAAACTCAGAGGGCTTTGCCTGATAGGGGACTCTTTAAACTCAGAGGGCTTTGCCTGATAGGGGACTCTTTAAAGTCAGAGGGCTTTGCCTGATAGGGGACTCTTTAAACTCAGAGGGCTTGCCTGATAGGGGACTCTTTAAACTCAGAGGGCTTTGCCTGATAGGGGACTCTTTAAACTCAGAGGGCTTTTGCCTGATAGGGGACTCTTTAAACTCAGAGGGCTTTGCCTGATAGGGGACTCTTTAAAACTCAGAGGGTGCTTTGCCTGATAGGGGACTCTTTAAACTCAGAGGGCTTTGCCTGATAGGGGACTCTTTAAACTCAGAGGGCTTTGCCTGATAGGGGACTCTTTAAACTCAGAGGGCTTTGCCTGATAGGGGACTCTTTAAAGTCAGAGGGCTTTGCCTGATAGGGGACTCTTTAAAGTCAGAGGGCTTTGCCTGATAGGGGACTCTTTAAAGTCAGAGGGCTTTGCCTGATAGGGGACTCTTTAAAGTCAGAGGGCTTTGCCTGATAGGGGACTCTTTAAAGTCAGAGGGCTTTGCCTGATAGGGGACTCTTTAAACTCAGAGGGCTTTGCCTGATAGGGGACTCTTTAAAGTCAGAGATCAACAGCAGAGTCTGAATGGTTCACATGAGAGTTTATTCGATGTGGTTAAAATGCAATAACAGGAAGAAGAATTAAAGACATACTTGGAATATTTGTGCATTGACTTGGTCCATTTCTCAGAAGAATTACACGTATTACATGATTGATTGATTGATTGATTGATTGATTGCGAAGTTATTGATCAGAGATGCTGGCGTTCAGCAGCCTCACGTCTCCCAGGACCTCCAGCTGTGACACCTGGCTCAGGTTCTGGACCCGGTGAGGGAAGTCCAGCTGGTGCTGCCCGTTAACGGCCACTCTGAAGCCCCGCTGCTCCACCCGGATGATCATCTGTATCATCATAGTGTGTTTAAACATATAATACTCACAGTATAGTGTGTTTAAACATATAATACTCACAGTATAGTGTGTTTAAACATATAATA